TTCCAACTTGTTTCACTTTCATTGACAATGCGGAGAATCCTTGACTAGACCTTGAGTCTCGACTAAAGGAACAAGGCCCTCTTGAGTCAATTGCCTAGAGGGACGTATCCTTCTCTAGAACAACTGATCAAGGCGTTCTGAACTAGACTCCCTCTATCGAAAGAGATTCTCAATCGATACAAAGCATTGAATCAACCCTCGACTAAAGCAATCGATCCACTACTATCAATCTATGGTGCTCTATTGACCTAATCAAGTATTCCCTCTCATAGGATCAAAGCAGAATCCATAATCTTGACTAAAGCAGAATTGAATCATGAAAACATGCATAGATTGAATATGAACTCAAGATTATCAAGTCAGAGTAATCATACAATCTTCCATTCAAACAATCATAGCTAGGGTTCCTCAAAACCTAAGTGAAGGGAAGTTACTCCATAGAGAAGAGAGAGACTGCAGTAAGAATCTTCAGATGATCAGTCTTCAAGTCCGGGCTTGTTCCTCGAGCTTCCAAGGCAAAGAAATCCTCCAATTCCACTCCAAGAATGCCCTCAAATATCCCTCTCTCTCTTTGGTTCGTCCCTTGGGTGTTTGGGATCCAAAACCCAGCTCTCCCTTTGCAAAAACGCACAAAACAGGCTTTTAACAGCCTGCGTTCGCGATCCCCGGTCAAAATACCCGGTAGGGTATTTTAGGTCACGACAGGGGATTTTTTGGTTCACGATAGGGGATTTTTGTGTCACGACCGGGGATTTTGGTTCACGACCGGGGATTTTTGGTTCACGATAGGGGATTTTTGGGTCACGACCGGGGATTTTGGTTCACGACCGGGGATTTTAGTGTCACGATAGGGCCCCCTTCTGTTTCTCAGAGAAGCCCGAAACCAATTTTCCCCAATCTTTGATTCTTCGTTTCTCCCTCGTTCGGACTCCAAATCAGGTTTCGTTTGATCCCAGATGCTCGTATTCTCGTCCTCTTTCTTCTCATGACAAGATTACATGATTATATGGTCACAAACTGAGGTAGAAATCCCTTCTTCTTCAAGTCATACCCGAGTTTCTTCCCCCGAGTCGCCAATTAATCTCCGATTGACTTGAAACTTGCGCCTACGCTTCACTTTATGTGCTAGGACCTGAAATGTGACAAAGGAACACAACCTAGCGTAAAATAGGCCAAAGAAGCAATAATGCAAGCTTAAACGATCAAGAAACAAAAGGGAAAACATGTGCAAATATCGAGTCATCAAATCCCCCCACACTTAACCGTTTGCTTGTCCCCAAGCAAACCTAACTCAAACCAATGCAGCTCTCCAGACCTCTATAGCAACATGCACCCTCGATCCTTGATAGAGGATTTTTTAGATCATTTAGCAGCTTACGAGGTCAACCGACGCACAAGTCATCTCATAGCTTCTTCGGCGAGAACGCTAGTCTCGAGTCGGCATCATGGCAAATAGTGATCAGAGGACAAATGAATCGTTGACGAAGAGACTCTCAAAAACAAAAGATCATGGACTCACATTTTTCAAGGTGCTCTTATTTTCTTTTTGAAGACGGTTGGAACCCCCTTTTTTCATTTTCTTTTGTTCTCTCTTTTTTCTTTCTTTTTCAAGGATTCCAACCCGATTTTCAGAAAACGGGGCTCCCACCTATCAAAGGTTTTGCGGGAACCCGGCTCTTACCGGCCATGCCGGGAGCGAATGTCTCGAGCCTCGTGCGGGGAAAAGGAATGTAAGAGGGCTGGAGGTAGTAGGTGGAAATTGGGAACGAATTCCCGTCTCCCCTTACACACTTTCGCCCTATTCGCACGGGAGACGTTATTTTAAAGCACATTATCGAGCACCTTTTATTTCAAAACATGATACAAGAGTCCATGACAGGTAGAGAGTCCACAACACCACACAATTCAAGGGTCCTAAGATCACTAATTCACTCAATCAACCAACACAATATGAAGAAGAAATGAGACTTCTTAAATGCATCAACATCCTCCATAGTGCTACACTACCTCCCTAGGTTGCATATTACTATAAAGACTGTCAATTCAAAGCATACTGAGCAGGCAATTGCAAGGAACACGTACTTGGAGCCCTCAAATCGAAATTTGGACAGTGGACTAGGCTCCAAGCACACAAACAGTCAAACATTCACACGGATACATAATCGAACATCCCCCCACACTTAAGCACGACATTGTCCTCAATGGAGGAAAGATAAGGAGGGTAGAACGAAGTTACCAGATCCAGGGTGAATGATGGTGGACGGGGCAGGCGGCGTATTCCGGGAGGAGAGAATGGTCAGACCACAAACACCACACAAAATCTCACAAAGGTTGAATTATTGACTCTAAAATCAAATAACAAAACTGACTCAACCGAGGAGAAAAAGAGAAAGAAATGCAAACCGACTGGTTGGGTTGCCTCCCAACAAGCGCTTCTTTCACGTCGTGAGCTGGACGATGGCTCCTAAGTTTCGGTCCACCCCAAAACCTCTTTGAAGTTAAGGTTCTCGTCGATGAGGTGGAATCTCAAGTCACGAGCATGTGGTATGACAGTAGATGGAAGCTCGTGCACTTGATGCAGATGAAGTCTCCACCCTCGAGACCTCTTCTTCTCTTCTCTCGTCTCATTGCCCCAAACCAGATATGACAGCACCGATTGACCACCATCGCGTCCACCAAGAGGGACCGATGTCGACGTGACCTTGGTATGGTAAAGAGACACTGCAAATGGATCCTTGCTAAGTAGTTCCTCGAAGTTTGGTGGAGATATCAAATGTAACGCATGGCCGGTGCAAGCCTGTTCCACCTCAACTTCGTCCTCAGCCTGGACGCCAATTTCTTCTTCAACCTCCCTTCCTTCTTCATGTGGTATCACCCCTGGGAAATGATCAAGAACTCCTCCTACTTCACTTTCGTCATCCTCCACAACTTCTTTCTGCACCCTTTCTTGCTCTTCTTCTTCTAGCACGGATTGGAGAGCAAGTTGCCAAGCAATTTCTTTCATGAGATCTTCTTGCATCTCCTCACTCATGCCCGCCTCTTCAAATCCCAGTTTGGGGTGTGGGAAGGTGTGGTCGGCTACGATAGGACACTCCGGATCATGATCATCACGGGAGCTTTCCGTGACAACTTCAGTGTGCTCCACAATGTCCTTGTAGCCTTCTTCTTCCTCCTCCTCTTCTTGTATGGTAGCAGAAGGGTGATCTGGAGCAGGTTGTGCCAAAGATCATTCAAGATCATCGACACTCTTCTTAAGGCTCAGGAGGATCTCCTCTGTTTCACGAAAGGCCTGAACACAATGATCCATCCTGGAGCATGATCTCTCCATGAGAAGCCTCAATTCATAGTGTGGATCTGGCTGTGGAGTGTAGCATGGCTCTGCAGAATGGCCCGTGAAGGCCGCCATGGGTAATTCCAGCTCCAATGGCCCCTCTGGTTGTGGGAAAAATTCTTCTTGGTAATGAGGTTGTTCTTGATATGCCCAGGGGTCCGGTTGTTCTCCGTAGTAAGGGGGTTGGTATTGGAACCCGAATCCATAGTCTTCTCCTCCTTGATTGCTCCAGGGAGTCTCGGGGTAATACCACTCGGGTGGTGGATACCCCCAATTGTTGGAGAAGCCATGAGGATCCATGATTCAGATCTGCACCAACAAAAACAAAAACACCCAAGTGAAAAGCAAGGGTGGAAAAGAAAAGAAAAGAAAAACGCTAAAGTAACAAACTTCTGCCTTTCCTAATACTCTAGAAAGTCCCCGGCAACGGCGCCAAAAACTTGACTCGCTACGACACAACACCTAACAATGGCCAAGTGTAACCAATGGAAGGGACTGCAGTATAGTGGCTCAAGTGATAAATATCGAACCCACGGGTCTCTAGAGTTACTATTACTCAGCTTCAGTTTATTATTTAGCAAACTAGATTAAGATGAAAGAACTAAAACTACTCTAGCAAACTACAGTTAAAGTTAATCTAATTACAGGTTGGGAACTCACTTAGGTATGATTCCCCCTAGCCACTAGCCAGACAAACAATTGATGATTTCCAACTTGTTTCACTTTCATTGACAATGCGGAGAATCCTTGACTAGACCTTGAGTCTCGACTAAAGGAACAAGGCCCTCTTGAGTCAATTGCCTAGAGGGACGTATCCTTCTCTAGAACAACTGATCAAGGAGTTCTGAACTAGACTCCCTCTATCGAAAGAGGTTCTCAATCGATACAAAGCAGTGAATCAACCCTCGACTAAAGCAATCGATCCACTACTATCAATCTATGGTGCTCTATTGACCTAATCAGGTATTCCCTCTCACAGGATCAAAGCAGAATCAATAATCTTGACTAAAGCAGAATTGAATCATGAAAACATGCATAGATTGAATTTGAACTCAAGATTATCAAGTCAGAGTAATCATACAATCATCCAATCAAACAATCATAGCTAGGGTTCCTCAAAACCTAAGTGAAGGGAAGTTACTCCATAGAGAAGAGAGAGACTGCAGTAAGAATCTTCAGATGATCAGTCTTCAAGTCCGGGCTTGTTCCTCGAGCTTCCAAGGCAAAGAAATCCTCCAATTCCACTCCAAGAATGCCCTCAAATCGCCCTCTCTCTCTTTGGTTTGTCCCTTGGGTGTTTGGGATCCAAAACCCAGCTCTCCCTTTGCAAAAACGCACAAAACAGGCTTTTAACAGCCTGTGTTCGCGATCCCCGGTCAAAATACCCGGTAAGGTATTTTAGGTCACGACAGGGGATTTTTTGGTTCACGATAGGGGATTTTTGGGTCACGACCGGGGATTTTAGGTCACGACAGGGGATTTTTTGGTTCACGATAGGGGATTTTTGGGTCACGACCGGGGATTTTGGTTCACGACCGGGGATTTTTGGTTCACTATAGGGGATTTTTGGAGACAGGGGAAAATCCCCTATCAAGGCCAAAAATCCCCTACCGGGGATTTTAGTGTCACGATAGAGCCCCCTTCTGTTTCTCAGAGAAGCGCAAAACCAATTTTCCCCAATCTTTGATTCTTCGTTTCTCCCTCGTTCGGACTCCAAATCAGGTGTCGTTTGATCCCAGATGCTCGTATTCTCGTCCTCTTTCTTCTCATGACAAGATTACATGATTATATGGTCACAAACTGAGGTATAAATCCCTTCTTCTTCAAGTCATACCCGAGTTTCTTCCCCCGAGTCGCCAATTGATCTCCGATTGACTTGAAACTTGCGCCTACGCTTCACTTTATGTGCTAGGACCTGAAATGTGACAAAGGAACACAACCTAGCATAAAATAGGCCAAAGAAGCAATAATTCAAGCTTAAACGATCAAGAAACAGAAGGGAAAACATGTGCAAATATCGAGTCATCAGCCGTCTTAGACGGGGGGATGGTAGCGAGTGAGGAACTTGTCCGCCAGGTTGGCGAACGTGGTGATCGAGCCCGGAGGTTGAGTGTCTATCAACTCCTTGGCCTGCTCCTCCAGAGTAAATGGGAAGTACCTCAGCTGGATGGCATCGGTTGGGACCCCATTTATCTTGATTCCATCGATGAGCTCGTGGAATCGCCTCAGATGTGATCGGGGGCACTCCTCCTCTTTGCCACAGAATACTACCGAGACGCGCAACATAGTGATGACCGAGGTGCTCACCTCAAAGTTGTTGGCTGGTACATGAGGGTGCTGAATAGGCGACCTCATGTTCGCGGCTCTGGCGGTCTAGTAGTACCTCTTGGTTTGCTCCTCGGGAAGGACCACATCATAGTTCTGTGGGTCACCCATCTCTTCTTCGTTGGTGATTTGCAGCTGGTCTAATGGTAGAAAATCTCCCGAATGGCTACGGGTCATGCACTACCTGCACACAATCAGCAAAAGCAACCCGTGAAGGCACACAGATGGAAGAGAGAAAATGCAGTAAAGAAAAAGCTAGAGTAACAAACTTTCACGTTTCTCCAATAACCTAGAGGGTCCCCGGCAACGGCGCCAAAAACTTGACACGCTAAAACACAACACCAAACTGCGACCAAGTGTAATCGCAGTCCGGAAATGCAGTAACAGGCAAGCTCTAATTGTCAACCCGGGGTCTAGATCTACTGCCTACTCTGTGTATATCTGTTATCTAGCAAACTAGGTCGAGTGATTGTTGATTTAAGTAAAAGCAGTAAGAAAGGAGGAAATGGTTCAGTTTTCTGAAGCAAAGGAAGAGTCACCCGGGTATGAGTCCCCCTAGCTCCTTAGTTAGGTCTCAGTTGTAATTACTTTTGGTTGCTTTATTGCTGATTATACTGCGGAAGATCTGACAGTAGCTTGGAATCTCTTAAACATACCAAGCCCTCTCAGTCAAACTACCCGGCAGACGACTAGTCTTCACCGGGATAGAACGTTGAGGCAATGAACACAGAATTCCACTACTGGAATTAGATTCCAGTACAAAGCAGTGAATCGACTAACTCTCGTATAATCGATTCACTACTACCGATTGAAGTAGCTCTAACAACCTAATCAGATTCTATCTATCTCAGGTTGTAACAGAAATCAATAAAAGATTATCAGACTTCAATTGACTCATTCAAAACACTTCAATCGATTATAATCAAGCAATATCACAATCCAAACGTAATTACAATCAAGATTCCTCACACATGGAACTAGGGTTCTTCATACCCAAGTGAGAGAGTGTTCTACTCCATGGAGAGAGAGAGGGAAACAGAATACAAAGCAGTCTTACTCATAACAATGGGAAGAATCTGCTCTGGGATGTCAATCTTCACTCCTATGATGATCTCCAAGCTCGATTGATGAAACCCAGCTCCAAAATCACTTCTAGGATGTGTTCTTCGCACTTTCTCTCTCCAGGGCTCTGTTTTTGCTCCAAAAAGTTGATTCCCTCTCCTTTGGCTTGAATTTGGGTTAAAACCCAGAAATTCCCAACCACACGGCCAGGTCACATGGTTGTGTGGCTTTCGCAGCTGCCCGTGTGAGTGTGCAAAACACCGCGTTTCACTTAAGTGGCTTCAGGTATGCTACACGGCCAAAACCACACGGCCGTGTGGATTTCCATGATGCCCGTGTGAGCTCCCTGGACTTTCCACACGGCCACAAGGGTTCCCTTACACGGCCAGTGTGGCTTGCCCGTGCAATTTGGTGTCACACGGCCAGGTCACACGACCGTGTGGGTTTTTAGGCGTGCCCGTGTGGCTTCCTCAGCTTCTCGCCAAACGTCCAATCTTCGTCCAATCGACCCCGAACTCGTTCCCAAACCTTCATTCACATACTCAGACCTAAAATATCACAAACAAGAACAACCTAGCGTGAAATCGGCCTAAAACACAAGAAATAAGACTCAAACGATGTAAGAATGGTGGGCAAAAACATGTGTATATATCAAGTCATCACATATATGATAGCATCGATTGACCACGATCGCGTCCACCAAGAGGGACCGATGTAATGTGACCTTGGTCTGGCATAGACACACTGCAAACGGGTACTTGCCAATAACCTCCTCAATGTTTGTTGGAGATATCACATGTTACTCATGGCTGGTGCAAGCCTCTTCCACCTCAACTACTTCGTCCTCAACCTGGATGCTAATTTCTTCCTCAACCCCCCCCCCCCTTCATTCTTGAAAATGTGGTATCTAACCTTGGAAAAGATAAAGAACTCCTTATGCTTCACTTCCGTCATCCTCTGCAACTTCTTCCCTCACCATTTCTCGCTCTTCTTCTTCCAACACGGATTAGAGAGCAAGTCGCCATGCAAGGTTCTTAATAAGATCAGCTTGCATCTCCTCACTCATGCTCGTCTCTTTAAAGCTCGAGACGTAATGGGGAAAGGTGTGGTCGCCAACAATAGGACATTCCTAATCATGCTCATCATAGGAGCTCTCCTTCAAACTTTCGTCTGCTCCACAATGTCCTCTTCATCCTCCTCCTCTTCTTGTATGGAAGTAGAAAGGCGATCTTGAGCAAGTTGTGCACATACTTGCTCAACCCACTTTGTTTGCTTTGATGAGTGTTAAACAACCTCCTCTGTTTCACTGAAAGGAAGGGTCAGATGGAGCAATATCTTGGATTAAGAGGTCCATCTTTAGGAAAGATCTCTCGGCTTTTCTAACAAAATAATCCTTGAGTAGCTTCAATTGACTGTTTGGATCAAGCCATGTAGTGTAGCATGGCTCTGCAGAATGGCCCATGAAGTCCGCCATGGCTAACTCCAACTCAAATGGCCCATTTGTTTGTGGAGGAATTCGTCTTGATACAGAGATTGTTCTTGAGGTGCCAAAGGGTCTAGTTGTTCTTCGTAGTAATGAGGTTGGTAATGAAACTCGAATCCATAGTTTTCTCCTCCTTGATTGCTCCAGGAAGTCTCAGGTAATACTACTCGGGTGGTTGTGGATACCCCCAATGGTTCGAGAAGCCCTGAGGATCCATGTTTCAGATCTGCACCAACAAAAAAAAAATAGAAAAGTGAAAAGCAAGGGTGGAAAAGGAAAGAAACACATAATTAAGTATCAAACCTAGGACTTTCCTAATAATCTAGAAATTCCTCGGCAAAAGCGCCAAAAACTTGACTAGCTAAAACAAAACTCCTAAAAATGGCCAATTGTAACCAATGAACAGGAGTGCAATATAGTAGCACAAGTAATAAATATTGAATCCACGGGTCTCTATAGTTACTATTACGTAGCTTCAGTTCATTATCTAGTAAACCATATCAAGATAGAATAACTATAACTACTCTAGCAAACTACAGTTAAAGTTAATCTAATTACAAGTTGCGAACTCACTTAGGTATGGTTCCCCTAGATTGAAGTTAGGCCAAGTTTTAATTCACAACAATTCAATTCAGCTGACATTTACACTGCGGAAAGTTCTTGACAAGTCTGGAGTCTCGACTAAAGTGTTCCAGACCCTCTTAAATAGATTATCCATCAAGTGACTTATCTCCACTGGAATAACCTAACCAAGGCAATAAGATTCAAGATTCCTCTAATGTGTTTACACCAGTACAGAGCAGTGAACGACTTCTCGACTAAAGCAATCGATTCACTACTTCCCATTCAGGTTTCTCTATTAACCTATACAAAGATTATTGTTCTAGGTTAAAGCATATATCAGAGGAATTTAATCACGACTCACGCAATTCTGAATAATGCCTCAATTGGATACAAAATAATCAATCATCCATGAAAATAGGTTCATATAACTCTTCCTATCATACAAATCTAGGGTTCCTCAAAACCTAAGTGAAGGGAAGTTACTCCATACAGAAGAGAGAGAATGCAGAAATTTGATCCAGACCTTCAATCTCCATCTCCAAGCTTGATTCCCAATCTTCAATGGTGAAGAAATCCTCCAAAATAGCTCCAGGAATTATCCCAAGTTGCTCTCTCTCTAGGATTCGTCCCATGGGTGTTTGGGATACAAAACCCAGCTCTCCCTCTCCAAAAAAGCATAAAATGAGCCTTTATAACTGCTACTTGAATGTTACATGGTCACCCATTGAGTTCCACAGTCGCGGAATATGTTCTTAAGACCTTGGAACTCACTGTTCATATTCCACGGCCTGAACCCTAAATCGACGGTCGTGGAATTGGCTCTTCGACCCATGGAATTCATTATTCATGTTCCACTCTCTTCGATGTTTCGTTTCTCTCTCATCCGGACTCTGAATCACATGTCGTTTGATCCCATATGCTTGTAATCTTGTCCTCTTTATTTTTATGACAAGTGTTATGGGACAATCCAAGTACCATATCGGTAATACAAGGGAAGGAATCCTTGTATATTAGTGTCCACCGAGCCTATTAGTACGAGGCCTTTTGGGGAGGACACCCAAAAGTAAATCAGTGCGGGCTTGGCCCAAAGCGGACAATATCGTACTAATTGAGTGCCCCGATTTCGAAAGTGGTATCAGAGCTTGGTTCGGTCCGGGGTGGTGGACGTCAGTTTGGTGGACCCTCATTCGGTGACCTCGGAGTTTGAGATCTGCATTTGGTTTGGTGGATCCAGGAGAGATCCACGTTTGGGCTTGGCGGATCAAAGAGAGTTCCGCATTTGGGAAGCAGATCAAAGAGAGTTCCGCATCTGGTAAAGTCCTTGTATCGAGAAGCCCATCGATACAAGGCATCTGGTGGATCAAGAAAATCACTGAGGTGACAACACGAAGTTCGTGGTCTTTGGCTTGAGGGGAGGATTGTTATGGGACAATCCAAGTACCACATCGGTAATACAAGGGAAGGAACCCATGTATATTAGTGTCCACCGAGCCTATTAGTACGAGGCCTTTTGGGGAGGACACCCAAAAGTAAATCCGTGCGGGCTTGGCCCAAAGCGGACAATATCGTACTAATTGAGCCCCCGATTTTGACAACAAGCTTACATGATTCTTTGTCCATAAAATGAGGTAGAAATCCACTCTTCCTCAGGTCATGCCCGAGTTTCTTCTCCCGAGTTGCCAATTGATCTCTGATTGACTTGAAACTTGTGCATATGCTTCACTTTACGTAATAGGACCTGAAATGTGATAAAGAAACACAATCCAGCATAAAATGGGCCAAAGAAGCGATAATGCAAGCTTTAACGATCAAGAAATGACGGGATAAATATGTTCAAATATATTGTTATCAAACATTTTGTTCAATTTAGTTGAAAATTGAATAAACTAATCGAAATATTTTATAATTTAGATACTTTATTTGTCATATACAATCAAGATCTTTTAATAAATAAATATAATGTATGTGCATAGAAATTCTAGATTTGGTAATTTATATAAATTTACAGTTAATTTGATTGTTTAACTATAAAATCTATTTAAAATATGATAACATGTCATGGCTTATTACTTTGGATTCTGATTTGTGTTTAGGCAGATCGGTGTTTCCCGACTTGATCCCCAGCTTTGCAAGGCATGTGGCCCATGTACTCCGAATTTTGCCTGAGCAGCATCGTGGGTGTTGGATTGCTTCCGAGGGACTGGTTCGGTGACTCTTTATGGTGATACTATTGGAGCTGGAAGGGTTCTAAATCAATGGTTTGGGATACTGATAGACCATTAGTTACACATGTTTTCACC